TGGAGTTTCCTGCCTAGGCTGGCTTTGAACTGTGATCCTCAAATCTCAGCCTCCTGAGAGTAGCTAGAATTACAGGCATGAGCCATGGCGCCTGGCTCAAAAATGTGTTTTTGATAAGGGTATAACCCATAGTACATAAAATTTACCATCATAACCATTTTAAGTATTCAATTCAGTGGTGGTACATTTATGTTGTTAGGCATGATCACTACAACCTATATTTTCTTTTCTTTTTTTTTTTTGTCTGTTTTTGTAGGTCATGGGACTTGAATTCTGGGCCTGGGGCACTGTCCCTCAGCCCTTCAGCTCAAGGCAAAGGCTCTACCACTTGAGCCACAGCACCACTTCCGGTTTTTTGAGTGGTTCACTGGAGATAAGAGTCTCACGGATTTTCCTGCCTGGGCTGGCTTTGAACCATGATCCTCAGGTCTCAGCCTCCTGAGTAGCTAGGATTACAAGTGTGAGCCACTGATGCCTGGCTTCCACAACTTATCTTTAGAACACTTTCTTTCTTTCTTCCTTTCTTTCTTTCTTTCTTTCTTTCTTTCTTTCTTTCTTTCTTTCTTTCTTTCTTTCTTTCTTTCTTCCTTCCTTCCTTCCTTCCTTTCTTTTTTTTTTGGGGTCCAATTGTGGGGCCTGAACTCTGGGCCTGGGCGCTGTCCCTCAGCTCTTCAGCTCAAGGCTAGCGCTCTACCACTTGAGCCACAGCACCACTTCCGGCTTTTTTCTTTTTGCTTATGTGGTGCTGAGGAATTGAACCCAGGGCCTCATGCATACAAGGCAAGTGCTCTACCACTGAGCCACCTTCCCAGCCCCTCTTTCTTTCTTTCTTTCTTCCTTCCTTCCTTCCTTTCTTTCTTTCTTTCGTCCTGTCTTTCTTTCTTGTCTTCCTGTCTTTCTTTCTTCAAAGATTGGGAGTCAAACTCAGATGATTTTGCTCATTGGATGGTACTCTAACAATTGAATCACACCTCCAACCCCTTGTAAAACTGAAACTCCAAAATAGTAAATAACAACTTTCCATCTTCCTCTAACTTCCAATACACAGCAACCATACCTGTATCTATAAATCTGCTTAAGTGGCTGGTAAAAGTGGAATCATAACTGGGTGCTGGTGGCTCACACCTGTAATCCAGCTACTCAGGAGGCTGTGATCTGAGAATCGCAGTTCAAAGCCAGCCCAGGCAGAAAAGTCTGTGAGACTCTTCTCTCCAACCACCAGAAAACCAGAAGTGGTGCTGTGGCTCAAGTGGTAGAGCACTTGCCTTGAGCTGAAGAACTGAGGGACAGCGCCCAAGCCCAGAGTTCAAGCCCCATGACTACCACCACCAACAACAAAAAGAGTGGAATCATATAATATTTGTTTTGGTATTTGTTTTGGTGACTGGTTTATTTTACTTAACAAAATTTCCTCAAGGTTCATCTATGTTGTAGCATGTGTCTGTATTTTATTCTTTTCAGAAAGCTTATTTCCTTTTCTGTAAATACTACATTTTGATTACTAATCTATCTGTGATGGGAATTTGGATTGTTTTTACTTTTTGACTATTGTGAATAATGTTACTATGAACATGGATACAGAAATATGTGTACAATTTTCTGCTGTAGGTATGTTGAGTTTATTTTCTTTCTTTCTTTTTTGTACCATCCTGGGTTTTGAACTCAGGGACTTGACACTGTCCCTGAAAATATTTTTTTTTTTTTTTGTCGGTTGTGAGGCTTGAACTCTGTGCTGGGGTGCTGTCCCCATGCTTTTCAGCTCAAGGCAATCACTCTACCACTTAAGCCACATTGACACTTCCGGTTTTCTGGAGATAAGGGTCTCACAGACTTTCTTGCCTGGGCTGGCTTTGAACCATGATCCTCAGATCTCAGCCTCCTGAGTAGCTAGGATTACAGGCATGAGCCACTGGTGCCCAGCCTATTTTTTTTCCCTCAAGGTTAGTGCTTTACCACCTGAGTCACAGCTCTAGTTCTATTTCTGGCTTTTTGGGAAATCAAATAATCCTGGTCTTGAACATTTTAGTTTACTTACAGCCAAAATAAACATTAAATGGTTGCCAGTGATTTAACTCCGTGTGTGTGTGTGTGTGTGTGTGTGTGTGTGTGTGTGTGTGTGCTGGTACTGGGGCTTGAACTTAGGATTTAGGACTCTTGCCTTTTTCACTGATGGCTTGCACTCTACCACTTGAGCTATACCTCTTGTCCAGATTTTTGCTGATTATTTGGAGATATAGTCTCTGAAATGTCTTTTGATCAAGCTGGCTTCAAGCCTCAATTCTTAGAGCTCAGCCTTCTGAGTAACTAGAATAAAAATGTGAGCCCAAACTAGTGCCCAGCTCAGAGCACTCACTTTTCAGTGAGTGTTGAGCCTGGGTCTTGGAGATTTACATCTGTCGTTATCTAATAATGCATGCATAACTTTCTCACTGATTATTTAATATTTATTTTTTGTAATAGATTTTCAGTGTTTTTCTGCATGTGAGGTTGGTGAATATTGACCTTTGCATGCAGAGAATTTGCTGTTCTTATGAATTTTATATTTTCTATAGATTTTTCTGGGTATTTTAATCAATTCTGAGGGAGTCTTATTTTTTCTTGTTCCTTTTTTTTTTTTGGTCAACCATGGGATCTGAACTCTGGGCCTGGGGACTGTCCCTCAGCTCTTCAGCTCAAGGCTAACACTCTACCACTTGAACCACACTGCCATTTCTGGCTTTTTCTGCTTATGTGGTGCTGAGGAATAGAACACAAGTCCTCATGTATACAAGGCAAGCACTCTACCACTGAGCCACTTTCCCAGCCCTTTTTCTTGTTCCTTAAAACATTTATATTTTTCTATTGACATTACACTGATTATGGCCTTTAAAACAATGACAGTGATAATTAAAATTAGTGATAGATAGCTAAGGACAGAAAAATCCCCTGCAAAAGTGTTCATTTTTTCTCATTAGCATTATGATGGATTAGAGAGATACCTACCACATTACTATCTCTCCGTAAGTCAAATAGAACCTCAGCATGTAGGTACAGAAAAGATGAGTTTGAAAGTGGGGTATGGCTCAAGTGATAGAGAGCCAGCCTTGAGTGAAAAAAAGGCAAGTGAGACTGTGAGGTTCTGAGTTCAAGCCCCAGTATGGGCACACCACACACACACACACACACACACACACACACACACACACACACATACAAGAAAAGATGGAAGCTTAGAAAGGCAGAGGAGGGAATCTGTAAAGAGTGTCCATATACCAAGGGAGATCCAAATATATTAAACATTGTATCCACAAAAGAAATAAAGGGAGGACTTTGCTCCAAGCCTGTTGTGGCTCCACATAAGGAACACCTGATTCTGCACAACGCTAAGTGCATGGGACACAATGAAATCTACCTTATGCCTGGAGCCACTGCCCCAGGTTACTTGGATAGAAAGTTCTACCTGTGCACTGGAGCCACATTGCAACCAGCCAAGTGGTTACAGGTGGAGACTGTAAATCTTGCTTAGGATGAATTGGTGCTGATTCCACTCCCCAAGTGCCCTCTCCTATCAAAATAAAGGCAGTGAAGATTGAAAACATTGTGAGATGAACCCAAATCTACCTCATAACCAAAGCCACTGCCCTGGATAGTTGACTGTAGAGTACTAGCAGTGGGCTGAAGCTCTATACCTTACCACAGCTGCTTCTATACCTTACCACAGCTGCTTCTCTGTGCCTGGAGATTCCAATTGCCCTGGAACTCCTGCTTCGGCCTAGAACTGTCATGTCCCTAGAGCTGCTACTGAGCCACCAGACTTTCCCTGTCCTCTGAAGTTGCTGGTGATCCACAGAACCTGCCCTATCTCCCTAAGCTGTTGCTGCACGTCTACAACCATTCATTCCCTCCTGCATTAGCTGATGCACCAGGCTCAGAGCCTTAGCCAACCATTGGACTTGGGCTGAACAGAGGGAAATGACAGGTTATCCTGTGTTTAGAGGGGAACTCAGAATAAACTCATTGGAAGAGCCACAGCCAGATCTCTGAGTGCCAGAAAATAGAGGAAAATGCATGATTCTCTGATGGAACCCAGCTGATATAATCAGATCTCCTTAGCAAGGAACAACTATACACACATATACGTGTATATGTATATATTCCTCATTTTTTTTACTGTTTTATTTTTGTTTTACCACATAGTACTGTATATCATATATTCTGTATTTTCTTTTCTTTTTTTTGTTGGTTTTGGGGCTTGACTCTGGGCCTGGGTGCTGTCCTTGAGCTCTTCAGCTTAGAGTGAGCACTCTCCAATTGAGCCACAGTGCCACTTCCGGTTTTCTGGTGGTTAATTGGAGATAAAGAGTCTCATGGACTTTCCTGCCCAGGCTGGCTTTGAACTGCAATCCTCATATCTTAGCCTCCTGAGTAGCTAGGATTACAGGCATGAGCCACATGTGCCCAGCATATACTCTATTTTCAACAGTATTACATCTTACATTTTTTTGCCCCATTTATTTCTTCCCCCTTACCCTGCCTTCTTTTCTCCTTCTCCTATCCCTTTTGTTTTACTACTTAATTTTTAATACTCATACCTTTAACAATTTTAAACTCCTAGTGTATCTTCTTTTTTTTTTTCAGTCCTGGGGCCTGAACTCTGGGCGCTGTCCCTCAGCTCTTCAGCTCAAGGCTAGCACTCTACCACTTGAGCCACAGCACCACTTCCAGCTTTTTCTGCTTATGTAGTGCTGAGGAACCAAATCCAGGGCCTCATGCATACGAGGCAAGCACTCTACCACTGAGCCACCTTCCCAGTCCAACTTAGTGTATCTTATAACCAAATTCCTTTTTTTCTAATCACAATTGATGTTTCTAATCACAAGTTGATGTTTTCAAATTTTCTTATTACATTTATTTATTAATTTTTATTTTATTTTTTTATTGGTTATGAGGCTTGAACTCGGCCTGGATGCTGTACCTAAGCTTTTTCTACTCAAGACTAGAGCTCTACCAGTTTGAGCCACAGCACTGCTTCTGGATTTCTGGTGGTTATTTGGAGATAAGTGTCTCATGAATTTTCCTGCCCAGGCTGGCTTTGAACTGCAATCCTCAGATCTCAGCCTCTTGAGTTGCTAGGATTACAGGCATGAGCCACCGGCACCTAGTTTTTGTTACATTTAAATTTTTGATTTAAAATTGATTATTTCATTGTTGCTATATGCTTTTTCTTTTTGGAGTTGTAACGAACATAACAGTTACGCAAATTACATTATAGGAACACAAGCAATATGAAAAGTAGGACAACATGACCCTCACAAAAATTCATTACATCTCCTTTCTTTTTTTTTTTTTTTTGGGTCCAGTCATGGGGTCTGAACTCTGGGCCTGGGCGCTGTCCCTCAGCTCTTCAGCTCAAGGCTAGCGCTCTGCCACTTGAGCCACAGCACCACTTCCGGCTTTTTTCTTTTTGCTTATGTGGTGCTGAGGAATCGAACCCAGGGCCTCTGGCATGCAAGGCAAGCACTCTGCCACTGAGCCACCTTCCCAGCCCCCTACATCTCCTTTCCAAGAAATGAAAATCCAAATATAGAACCTAAACCTTTAAATTAAAAAATGAGCAATTACCTTAAAGGAGATCCAAAGAAACAAGTAAATGTAGAAAAGAAATCAAACTGTAACCTGAAAAAGAAAGTCAATGATATAAAAGAGAAATTCAACAAGGAAATTGAGATTCTGAAAAAAAACCCAAGTGAACAAACAAGTGGAAATATTGTAAATGTAAAGCTCAATAAATCAAATAAACACAAAAGAGCTGAATGCTAGTCACTCATGTCTGTAATCCTAGCTACTTAGGAGGCTAAGATCTGAGGTTTGTGTTTCTTTCTTTCCTTTTTTTTTTGAGGTTTGTGTTTCAAAGGCAGCCTGGGCAGGAAAGTTTGTGAGACTCTTATCTCCAATTATCCACTAAAAAAAAAAAGCTGGGGGTGGAGCTGTGGCTCAAGTGGAGGGGCACTAGCCTTGAGAAAAAGACTCAGGACAGTACCAGGCCCTGAGTTTAAGACCCAGGACTGGCACATACACATACACACACAAACACGCACACATGCATGTACACACATGTATGCACACACATACATAAAAGACATACAGGATAGAGCATCATCAGTAGGCTTAAACAAGAAGAAATAATATCAAGGATAAAATAGGGGAGTTGGGGGGAGGGAGGGAGAAAAATGGGGGAGGGGGTAACAAGTTAGACAAGAAATATAATCACTATCTTACTTATGTAACTGTACCCCTCTGTACATCAACCTTAACAATAATATTAAAATTTAAAAAAAGGATAAAAGAGAAGGCCAAGGAAATATTATACATAGACACCATTATAAAGAAAAAAATAGCCGGGTGCTGGTGGCTCACACACAGTAATCCTAGCTACTCAGGAGGCTAAGTTCTGAGGATTACAGTTCAAAGCCAGCTTGGACAGGAAGACTCCTGCTTGGACAGGAGACTCTTATCTACATTAACCACCAGAAAACTGGAAGTGGTGCTGTGGCTCAAAGTGGTAAAGTACTAGCCTTGAGTAAAAGTGCTCAGGGACAGCATTTAGGTCCTGAGTTCAAGCCCCAGGACAATGAAAAAGAAAGAAAGAAAGAAAGGAAAAGAAAGAGAGAGAGAAAGGAAGGAAGGAAGGAAGAAAGAAAGAAGGAAAGAAGGAAAGAAAGAAAGGGAAAGAAAGAAAAAGAAAGAGAGAGAAAGAAATAGAGAGGGAGAGCCGGGCGCTGGTGGCTCAAGCCTGTAATCCTAGCTACTCAGGAGGCTGAGATCTGAGGATCGTGGTTCAAAGCCAGCCCGGGCAGAAGAGACCGTGAAACTCCTATCTCCAATAAACCACCAGAAAATCGGAAGTGGTGCTGTAGCTCAAGTGGTAGAGCGCTCGCTTTGAGCTGACGAGCTGAGGGACAGCGCCCAGGCCCAGAGTTCAAGCCCCACGACCGACAAAAAAAAAAAAAAAAAGAAATAGAGAGGGAGAAAGAGAAAGAAAGAGAGGAAGAAAGAGAGAAAGAAAGAGAGGAAGAAAGAACATGCATGACTACAACTCTCAAAAACTGAGGGCATGTGTGGTACTGTTTGCTCACATCTGTAATCTTAGCTACTCAGGAGGCTGAGATCTGAGTTTCACTGTTCAAAGTCAATCCAGGCAGGGAAGTCAGAGATGATTTTATCTTCAATTAACCAGCAAAAAGCCAGACAAAGAACTATGGCTCAAGTGGTAGAGCACCATCCTTAAGTGAAAAAGCCAAATGAAACCTTGAAGACTGAGTTTATTCCGCAGTATTGGCAAAAAAATTCTAGGATATGATAAAGACACCAAACATAGCCAGGTGCTGATGGCTTATACCCGGAATCCTAGCTACTCAGGAGGCTGAGATCTGAGAATCACAGTTTGAAGCCAGCTTGGGCAGGAAAGTCCATGAGACTCTCATCTCTAATAATCTTCTGAGAAAAGGCCAGAAGTGGCCTTGTAGTTCAAGTGGTAGAGATCTAGCCTTGAGCAGAAGAAGCTTAGGGACAGCACCCAGGCCTTAGGACGGGTCAACAACAACAAAAACAAAGACCCCCAAACCTAAGACCCCAGTGGTAGAAGAATGAGCTGAGATACAAACTAAAAGCACAGAAAACATAAATAAGTAAAGCATGGGGCTGGGAATGTGGCTTAGTGGTAGAGTGCTCACCTAGCAAGCATGAAGCCTTGGGTTTGATTCTTCAGTAGCACATACACAGAAAAAGCCGGAAGTGGCACTGTGGCTCAAATAGTAGAATTCTAGCCTTGAGCAAAAGAAGCTCATGGACAGTGGCCAGGCCTTGAGTTCAAGCCTCAGGACTGACCAAAACATATAAATATAAATATTATAAAACATATAAATATTAATCTTGGAAAATATATGGATATCTAAGTATAGGAGGCATTTGGAAAAGACACAGACTGGAAGGATGGAAAATGAGATACCAAGTAAGTGGAAACCAAAAGCAAGTAGAATTGGTTATACTTTTATGACAAAGTTGACTTTAAGTAAAAGTAGAAAGGATAAAGAATTATTACTCTACCTATGAACAAAAAAACACAACTCAGTCAGGCACCAGTGGCTTATGCCTGTAATCCTAGCTACTCAGCAGGCTGAGATCTAAGGATTGTGGTTCAAAGTCAGCCTGGGCAAGAAAGCCCATGAGACTCTTATCTCCAATAAACCACTAGAAGACCAGAAGTGGCGCTGTGCACTAGCGCCACAGAAGTTGTAGTGCACTAGCCTTGAGCTGAACAGCTGAGTGACAGTGCCCAGGCCCAGAGTTTAAGCCCTATGACTGACAACAAACAAACAACCCCTCCCCACAACTCACCAAAAGGTAGGTGTAATGACTACAAATTTATATGCATCAAATATATTTTGGGGGTTGGTCATGGGGCTTGAACTTGGCCTGGACACTGTCCCTCAACTCTTCAGCTCAAGGCGAGTGCTCTACCACTTGAGCCATAGCTCCACTTCCGGTTTTCTGGTCGTTTACTGGAGATATAAGCCTCATGGACTTTCCTGCTCGGGCTGACTTTGAACTGTGATCCTCAGATCTCAGCCTCCTTAGTAGCTAGGATTACAGGAGTAAGCCACTGATGCCTGGCTACATCAAATATTTTATACTAAATTTCATATAACAAACACTATTGGACATACAGGGAGAAATAAACCTAGGCACAATAATGGTGAGTGACTAACACTCACCCTCCTCCATATACAGATTATCCAGGCCAAAAAATAATAAAGAAAGAAACTTCAAAGTTTAACAATACCCTGGAGCAAATGAACTTATTGGACATCGATAGAATTTTATATCACAACTCTAGAATATACATTCCTCTCAGCGGTTCATGGGGCTTTCTATAAAATAGACCATATTTTAAACTATGAAGCAAGTCTTTTTTTTTTTTTTTTTTGGTCCAGTTGTGGGGCCTGAACTCTGGGCCTGGGCGCTGTCCCTCAGCTCTTCAGCTCAAGGCTAGCACTCTACCACTTGAGCCACAGCACCACTGCCGGCTTTTTTCTTTTTGCTTATGCGGTGCTGAGGAATCGAACCCAGGGCCTCAGGCATGCAAGGCAAGCGCTCTACCACTGAGCCACCTTCCCAGCCCCTGAAGCAAGTCTTAAAAAATAAATGTAACTGAAAGGGTTGGAGGTGTGGTTCAGTTGATAGAGAGCTAGCCAATGAGTGAAAACAGAGGATACCAAGTTCAACTATTTCAGATATGTGTGGAGATATATATATATATATATATATATATATATATATATATATATATATATATATATATTTGAAATAGTTTTTTGTGTATTATCTGAACACAACAAATAAAATTAGACATCAATAGCAAGAGAGGCTGGGTGCCGGGGACTCATGCCTGTAATCATAGCTACTCAGGAGGCTGAGATCTGAGAATCACAGTCTGAAGCCAGCCTGGGTAGGAAAGTCCGTGAGACTTTTATTTCCAATAAACCAGAAAATTGGAAGTGGTGCTGTGACTCTCAAGTGGTAGAGTGCTTGCCTTGAGCTGAAGAGCTGAGGGACAGCATCCAGGCCAAGAGTTCAAGCCCTACAACTGAACAAAAAAAAAAAAAAAAAAAAGCAAGAGAAACCACAAACTGCTCAAATACACGGAGTTGTACAATACACTTTCCAATGGGTCATTAAAGAAATCATGGAGGAGATATAAGACAATCCTAGGATTAAATGAGAAGGAAAATATAAAAACTAGAGCATGCAGGGTTCAACAAATACAGCTCTATGAGGGAAATTTATGGCTATGAATGTCTATATTGAACAATGAGAGAGACTACAAACAATCTAATGATATACTTCAAAGTCTTAAGAGAGACAAGACCAACCGAAACCCAAAATTAGTAGGTAGAAATAAATAGTAAACATCAGGATGGAAATTAATAAAGAATCAATGAAGTGTTCTCAGAAAAGATAAACAACATTGACAAGACCTTAATTAAAAATAACAAAATGGAGAGAGAAGACTCAAAGTGATAAAACTAGAAGTAACACATGGGTCTGTTTTGCAGTAGTAGGACTTGAACTCAGGGCCTTGTGTTTGTTTAGGAAGGTATTCCACTTGAGCCATTCATCCAGTCTTTTTTAAAAAATTATTATTTTGGATAGTTCTTTTTGCATTTTTGTCCAGGACTGCCCAGCAGTAAGCCATCTTTTTTTTGTGGGAAGAGGCCAGGGAGATGCCACAGGACCTGGCTTGAGAGTTCTAAGTTACACTTGGCAGCAAACCACATATATGGCAGGCTTGGACTCAGAGCTCTTCATCTCTGGTGATCCACAGTCATAAGAATTAAACCTGTCATAAGAACTGGGCCACTAACCGAAAGCCGAGTTCCCTACTGGATCCAGAGTTCTCTACTACTTGATCACCTCAATACCCTGTGACTGATCCTCTCCCTCTCCATCACTGCCTCTCATGGTGGGCTTTCACCCAGACACTCACTGTTAGAAGCAGTTCCTAGGTTACCTGACTTGAAATCTGACTTGTTTTCAGATTCTCCAGTTTAGCTACCTCCAGGCCTTCTCTCAAGATAGTGTTTAGTTATAGTTTCCTTTCCCTCCTTCCCTTCTTTTCCCTTCACTTCTATTTCTAATCCCTTTCATCGTTTCCTCGCCTTTCTTTCCTTTCTTACCTTTGTTTTCCCTTCCTTTCCTTTGCTTCCTCTTTCTTTTCCTTTCTCCTTTCATTTCCCTTCCTTCCCTTCCTTTTTCTTTCATTTCCCTTCCCTTTCTTATCTTCCTTATCCCCTACTCCTTTCCCTTCCTTCTCTTCCTTTTCCCTTTCTTTCCTTCCTTTTCCCTTCCTTTTTATTCTTCCTCCTTCCTTTCCTTTAATTCCATTCCCTTCTATTTTCCTTTCCCTTCAACTTTCGTTCCTTTTCTTCTCTTCCTTTCCCCTTTCCTTCCTTTCTGCCTCCTTCCTTTCCTTTCTCCATCCCTTCCCTTCAATTTCTCTTCTTCTCTTTCTCCTTTCTTTCCTTCCATCTCCTTTCTTCTCTTCCTCCTCCCCTGCCTTTCTCCTTCCTTTCCCTTCCATTTCTTCTTTTCATCCTTTCCCCTTTCCCTTTCCTTCCCTTCCCTTCCCTTCCCTTCCCCTTCCCCTTCCCTTCCCCTCCCCTTCCCTTTCCCTTCCCCTCCCTTCCCCTTCCCCTTTCCTTCCCCTTTCCTTCCCTTCCCTTCCCCTTCCTTTCCCCTTCCCCTTCCCTTTCTCCTTTCTCTTCCCCTCCATACTCCCTCCCTTTCTCTTCTTTTTCTTCTTTCCTCCTTTCCTTTCCTTCTTGTCTTTTCTTTCTGTCATCAGGGCTTGAACTCAGGGCCTTATGCTTCCTCAGCTTGCTTGCTCATGGCTGGTACTTGAGATACATCTTCAGTCATACTTTTTGCTAGTTTTTTTGGAGATGGAGTCTCTTGCACTTTTCTGTTCAGGCTCCCAAGTAGCTAGGATTATAGGCATGGACTACTGCCTTGTCCTGAAGGATAACAGAAAATCCCTTCACTGCCTTTAAGGCTTATGAAAACCGTACTCTTTTTTTATTGTGAAAATACTGTACAGAGGGGTTACAATTACATGGGCAAGATAATGAGTACATTTCTTATCAAGCATTGTAGCCTCCTCCTTTGTTTCCCCTTCCCATCCCATCCCATCCTCCCCCCATCCCCCCACCCAATCCTCCCCCCCACCAAAGATGTAAAGTTCGTTTTCAACATAACGACTTGTACATCAATTGCATTGTTGCAATGGGTCCACCTGTATCCCTATTTAAACGATTTGTTTTTTGCCTTCCCCTCCACAAATTATACCGACATCAAATACAGTGAATACAGTGAAAGCAGGGGTTATACTATGGGGGAGGGACATACAAAACAACAAAGAAATAATCTTATAAATGTGTTAGAAATAATCACATGAAAGAGAAAAACATTTGAATACGTATCTTAGGGTTCATTTCCCTAACATCAACTTATCTGACCTTTTCTGCTTGACTCAGACATATACTAGATATTGCAAATAAGGGAAACCATGGGACCTATGTTTCTTTGGGCCTGGCTTACTTATAATTCTTTGGGCCTGGTTTAATATAATTTTTTCCAAGCCTTTCCATTTCCTAACAAATGGGGCAATGTCATTCTTTCTGATGGAGGCATAGAATTCCATTGTGTATATATACCACATTTTCTTGATCCATTCATCTACTGAGGGGCATCTGGGTTGGTTCCATATCTTAGCTATAGTAAATAATGCTGCAATAAACATAGTCGTGCTGGTAGCTTTAGTGTGGTCTTGTTTATGAACATTTGGGTAAATACCCCAACGTGGGATTGCTGGGTTATAGGGGAGCTCTATGTGGAGTCTTTTGAGGAACCTCCATACTGCTTTCCAAAGTGGTTGAACAAGTTTATACTCCCACCAACAATGCAGTAAGGTTTCCTTCCTTCCGCATCCCCTCCAGCATCTGTTGTTATTAGAGTTTTTGATTATAGCCATTCTAACTGGAGTGAGATGGTATCTCAATGATGTTTTGATTTGCATTTCTTTTATGACTAAGGAGGTTGAGCATTTCTTCATGTGTCTATTGGCCATCCTTCTTTCCTCTTCAGAGAAGTTTCTCTTTAAGTCTTTCGCCCACTTATTTATTGGGCAGTTGTTTCTTTGAAGATTTGTTGTTGGGGGATTTAATTTTTTGAGTTCCAGGTACGTTTTAGATATGAGACCCTTGTCTGTTGTATGGCTAGCGTAGATCTTCTCCCAATCCGTGGGCTTTCTATTGATCTTGCTAGCTATGTCCTTTGCCATGCAGAAGCTCTGCAATTTCATGCAATCTCATTTGTCCAACCTTTCTTTGATTTGTGTTTCTGGGTCTCTATTAAGAAAATTTTGGCCTGTGCCAACAAGACCTAGGGTTTCTCCTATTCCATCCTGTAATGGAAAACCATACTCTTTTTTTTTGGGGTGGGGGGGTCCGGTCCTGGGGCCTGAACTCTGAGCCTGGGGCACTGTCCCTTAGCTCTTCAGCTCAAGACTAGCGCTCTACCACTTGAGCCCAGCACCACTTCTGGCTTTTTTCTTTTTGCTTATGTTGTGCTGAAGAATTGAACCCAGGGCCTCAGGCATGCAAGGCAAGCACTCTACCACTGAGCCAACTTCCCAGCCCTGGAAAACCATACTCTTTTTTTTGGTCGGTCATGGGGCTTGAACTCTGGGCCTGGGCTCTGTCCCTCAGCTCTTCAGCTCAAGGCGAGCGCTCTACCACTTGAGCTACAGCGCCACTTCCGGTTTTCTGGTGGTTTATTGGAGAT